TACCTGGCTGTTAAAACACATACACCAATTAGAATAGAGCAAAAGCAGGAGAGGGTCCAACCGTTAAATAAAAATATAAATAATTTTGGCCAAGCTGTGTCGTAAAGTTTTAGGATGTTTTAAGCATTTCTGCCCTACAAAAAAAAAAAAAAAAAAAAAAAAAAAACTGTTGAAGAATATCGACTCAGCCTGAAACACTTCAAGGGATTGGTCCTGCTCCAAATAAACAAATACCTGTACGTTCAATGAATAACGAGGACTCTCTGCATTTACTCTTCCTAAGCCACTTTAAAGTACTTCTCTTTTCTTTACCGTAGAAATATACACAATTCTTCAGTTAGAGGAAAAGTGTGCAGTTTTTAAAATCAGATTCTATTAAAAGGTCAGAGATAGTTACTCTTACCCAACAAACATGACATAAATCCTTGTTACTAATCCTTTAAAAGCAACTCCAAATGTAAAAATGATTATAGCAGTTTCTACAAGTTGTGTCTTAATAACCTTTAAGCCATCAGCATGTTTGCTTTATTCACATAAAAGGTCATTAAATGTTTAAATGGATGCCGGATACTGTGTTCTAATATTTTTCTGTGTGAACTATGTACTGGAAATGTAAGTTTGAAGGTATTTCAGGTCACAGGAATGAGCTTTTAAGGCAGATTGACCCTAATTGTTGAATCCATGGATAAAAGTGATAACATTTACACCTTCGGTTGGTCTTATTCGCCTTAATGCAGAGATTGTTGGACCAGGACAAACAATGTGACACAGTTGCAACAGATTGTTTTTGGTGTTACTACTGTGATAAGCAGGATGACAATGAAGAAGAAAGTCTGTCTCATCAATTGTAGACCAAGCAACAAAAATAGAACATCAGTCACTCCAACCATCTATAACTATCCATCATATCTGTTTGTATGACTCTGTTCCACTAACCTTTATCCTCCTGATGTCTTTCTATCAGTAATAGTTGAAATACTTCATTGTTTTATGGATAAAGATATAGTCTTTGTGTTGACATCTGTGTCCCTAATTGATTCTTGTATCCTCTTTTGGATGTGGGCGTGGCTTCACACCAGTGTGCAGTCATCAATAAATGGCAGCAGCTCCTTCACATAAATGATCACACGCAGGCCAAACAAAATTCATGTCTCTGTGTTGTTTCTTGCCTCCATCTTAAAACGGCTGATCAGCTTTTGTGGCGATGGACACGCCAACACTTTGGTTTTACTCTTATTTTATTTTATTTTATTTTTTTTTTTAAATACACTGATCTTAGGTCCCTGCCTCTCTCCCTGCTTTTGGTATGCTGCATACCAGCATACCAAAAGCAGGGAGATGATGATCGGTGATGCACTAACTCTCACCTCTATATCCCTTAAACCAGTGGTTCCCAAAGATTTTCTTCTGGGCCCCCCTTTGGATTACAATAAAATGTCCACGCCCCCCCCCATAACCCCGACCCCCCCCAAAAAAAGAATCAACTGGGCACACACATCGTTCAACCAGATATAATAAATCTATACACATATTTTGTTTTCAAACTCCACTGAAGTTTATTTCACACTTCAGGTTGCAACAAAACAAACTACACCATCTTTACAGTGGAACACTTTTGTGTAACTGCATTTTTTTCATAGTTCTATACTGTAGATTAGAAGAGGATTCTTTGTTGTCTGTGTTATTTTAAACATATTTCTTTTTTTTTTATTTGTAACAATATTTAACTTTGCTATAATCTATACATTAAAAAAGCCTCTGTGCAAAATGGAGTAAAAACATTTAACAGCTCCCTGAGAGTTTTTTCTTTGTACTTTAATCCTCACATCTTTTCAGTGGCTGTAGTGAGCCTGCTTTTTGATGTAGATCTTCTCAAATCTGGGTTGCAGTGTCACAACTGTCCATTATGCTCAGTCAAGCAAGCGCTGTTTTTTTCTTTTTTTTTTTTTCTTCATTCATCCATACCGCTTCCCGCGCCCCCCCTGCAATGGCATTGCGCCCCCTCTAGGGGGCGCGCCCCACACTTTGGGAACCACTGCCTTAAACAATCATATTTTTTATCTTAAATAGGAGTCAAACTTGCTTAAAACAGCTTAAAGGTCAAAGCTACAACTTGTTCATCAAAGCGATTAATTTAAATTAGAGGTATAATATTCACAGAACGTCTAGAGTGGCTTGGAATGAAACTATTAACTTTTAATGAAAAAATATACAGTATAGAAATTATTGTTTTATGAACTTTGAAGGGTTGAAATTATATATATACATGTGCCTGTGGTTATAATGCGAACGGTGATGATTTAAAGGAATAGTGGAAGATATTTTTCCTTTTTCTGAGTAAATAAGTGGTATTCCAAATTGTTAATCATTCTGGTGATAAGTTTCCGTAAGGCCATCTTACTTGCTCATTCTCCTTTTCACTTACTGGTGGTGAGTCTGACATGTTAAAACAGTGTACATGAGCAGAAATGGGCTACTTTACACTCTTGCACATGTTTAATAGGTGTTCCCTTTGGGAGCGGGTGCAGGGTTGTGCATGTGCTTTTTCTTTGAACCGTGTAATGCCAAATGTATCGTATTTGATACATACGGTTTCTGAAATGTTTTGCATCTGACACCTTTTGCATAATTTAATGGTAAAAACTTTGCTCAAAATCCTATTGTACACAATCAGATATACCTGATAACAGCCAGTGGAAGACTACACAAAAAATAATCTTGACTTATCGCATAGTAATAAATTATTAATATCAAAAATGTATTTCTGTTTTTTCTTTTTACATATTTTGTTAAAAGGGCAAATAAGGAATTCAAACAAAAAAAAAAGTAATTTTCTGTTTTGTTTTATTGTTGGATCAGGCTGTAAAGGGTTAAGGTGGAGAGGGCAGGTCTTCCACTATACCTTTAAGGAAGCAAAGAAGCACAGAATGAATGTGGAGTTTGCTGCTTTTCTTTCCTGCTAAGGTATAAATTAGTAGCAGATCTATTTATCAGCTGACAAACATTATAGAACTAGAGTGAACGGCCAAGTGTGTGTGTGCCACTTAGAATAGAATAGAATAGAACAGAAAATCCCTTATTGTTCCACATTGGGGAAATTATTTAGTTTATTTTTTTCTGGAAATTCACTTACTGGCTGGGAGGGGTTAAACTTGTAGTTATCACTACTATGTTTACTTGGCTAAGGAAGTTCCCAAGACACTTAGGATACTAGATTTAAGATATTAACCCAAGGATAATCAGTTTGTATAGCACCATTCAGAACAAAGAATATCCAATCTGATTTACATGATTTAAACTATAAAACAGGGAAAATAAAAGCAGAATAAAAGATAAAAATGATAAAAGCAGGCTGTAAAAAAACAGACAAAAAAACATCAGTACCACAAACGATACTTCAGTTAAGAATTTAACTTTAAGTCAAAGGCTTCTTCTTAACAATTTTTTTTTATTATTTTGATTTAAAATAACTGAGGCTTTCAGCATAATTTAAGTGTTCTAGTATTTTTTTTTTTTTAATAACTAAATGCTCCTTGTATTACGGAAGAGGATTAGGGCCACTGAAAAAAAAAAACTGATATTTTTTTATTTTATTTCACTATAGTATGGGAAAAAAGTCAGAATTCTGACTTTTTTATTGTCAGAATTCAGTCAGAATTCAGAGATTAAAGTCAGAATTCTGACTTTTTTATTGTCAGAATTCAGTCAGAATTCAGAGATTAAAGTCAGAATTCTGACTTTTTTATTGTCAGAATTGCTATACTAAACTGAAATAAAATTTACAAATCAATTAACTTTTTTTTTTTTTTTTTACAAATCAGTTAACTTTTTTTTTTTAACTGGCCCTAATCCTCTTCCGTAGTAGAGGATTAGGGCCAGTAAAAAAAAAAAAAAAAAAAAAGTTAACAGATTTTTAAATTTTATTTCAGTTAAACAGAATTAAGTCAGAATTCTGACTTTTTTTATTGTCAGAATTGCTATACTAAACTGAAATAAAATTTACAAATCAGTTAACTTTTTTTTTTTTTTTTTTACAAATCAGTTAACTTTTTTTTTTAACTGGCCCTAATCCTCTTCCGTGGTAGAGGATTTTTAAATTTTATTTCAGTTTAACAGAATTAAGTCAGAATTCTGACTTTTTTCTCAGAATTCTGTCTTTAATCTCAGAATTCTGACTTTTTTTTCTCAGAATTCTGACTTTAATCTCAGAATTCTGACTTTTTTTCTCAGAATTCTGACTTTTTTTATTGGCAGAATTCTGAGATTAAAGTCAGAATTCTGAGAAAAAAAAATCAAATTTCTGACTTTTTTTTCAGAATTCCGAGATTAAAGTCAGAATTCTGACTTTTTTTCTCAGAATTCTGACTGAATTCTGACAATAAAAAAAGTCAGAATTCTGAGAAAAAAAGTCAGAATTCTGAGATTAAAGTCAGAATTCTGACTTTAATCTCGGAATTCTGAAAAAAAAAGTCAGAAATCAGATTTTTTTCTCTGAATTCTGACTTTTTTTATTGTGAGAATTCTGAGATTAAAGTCAGAATTCTGAGAAAAAAATCAGATTTCTGACTTTTTTTTCAGAATTCCGAGATTAAAGTCAGAATTCTGACTTTTTTCTCAGAATTCTGACTGAATTCTGACAATAAAAAAAGTCAGAATTCCGAGATTAAAGTCAGAATTCTGACTTTTTTTCCATACTATACTGAAATAAAATAAAAAATCAGTTAACATTTTTTTTTCCAGTGGCCCTAATCCTCTTCCGTATTATCCAGCATTTAACTTCCCTGACTTCTCATACATTTTGAACAGAATCTAATTTCAAAATTCAAAGCCATCCTTCTCATATGCCCTCTTTGTTTAATCTGTTTGCAAATATTTTGCTGTGTGTCACTAAAAGGGACCTCAGGTGGTGCTGTTGTCCTGACAACCAATGAGGGGAGCCTCACAGTCAAAGGCTGGATGATGTGAAAGAGAGAAAGAGGGAGGAAGAGTGAGGAGGTGGGGAGTTATTTTCACAGACTCTAAACAGTAGTCTGCCTCTCTCCGTCGCCTCTGTGGGTTGTGCGGTCCCTTTACGCGGAGAGCATTACGCATCACTGGACTATAGAGCGAGGACTCCGCACTGTTTCCCTCTCAGCCCACAACTATTTCAATCTCTGTTCAAACTCGGACTGTTTTTGGACAGATATTCACTCTGCGTTTATTGACAGCAGAAGTCTGGAGCACTCTTTCTGGGTTTTGCACGTTTTGGATCTATTGCTCCCGAGACGCGTTTTGAGATGCATGTGGGGCGCAAATCGTGTTGGAAGCAGCTGCAGGCTTCGTTTTTCAGACTGCTCTGTCTTATCCCTACAGGATTCCCCGTCCGGAGTGTGGATATGCAGCGGGCCACCGACAACATCACCATCCGTCAGGGCGACACGGCCATTATAAGGTAGGAGGCGCATCTCAACTTTTCCTCCCTGCAGCAGCATCCATCCTGCAAAGGAAAAACTAACAAAATCTGTTTATTGCACTCCATGTGGGAGATTTTCTTTGCTTTGATATTATTTTCTCGGCATTGCATTGAGATTTTTTTTCTTTTTTTGGTGTAAATCATTAAAATGTCCTAAAATACTGTAGGTTTAAAGCGAACCATGTCCAGCCAATGGATTGTTTAAATGGTTTCTGTGCAATTTAATATGTTTAGTTTATAAAGATGTGCATTTAAAAAGAGATAGATCACTTATTTGAACAATTGGCGTCATTGTTTTGAAGGATGTGATTTATTTCTTTTGCATTGGATTATATCATTATATCACAGAAAGATAACAGTAGGGATATTGTATGGCACAGTTATGACAACTTTCCTGTCGCTTTTGGATCTTCTTGAAATAAAAATAAATGAAAAGCCATTTGGAAAGCAAGGAAGGTTCTGGTTCTAATTTATCATTGCTTTGGTTTGGGTTTGTCCTTTAATGGTGCATTTAATCCCTGCTCAGATGACTCAACCTGTCAACTTTGTCATATCCAGATGCTGCTTGGGCAGATGTCACAGATCATGTGTTTTTGACAGCCTAAATAAAGCAGATTCCACTTTTTTTTTTCGTTTTTGGTGGACCTAACCTGAGAAAGGGGGGTGAACTTTGTTCTAAAAGTGACGTTCAGTCCTGGACACAAAACCTTCACTTCATTGATTTCACAGCTCATGTTTTAAGTCCATTTACATTGCACTGCTGAAGGCAGAGCTGCCCCTCCCCAGCCTACTGCTGCTGCAAATACTGGTAAACTCCCTCAAAGTAGGCTGTAAATTTTCCCTCATTTACAACTTATAGCTCTTTTGAAATATTTCAAATTACAATGAAATGATTAAATAAGGAAGAAGTAAATGTAGAGACGGGCTATGTTTGCAAGAGTATTTTAATAATTGATATGTTGCTTTGATTTAGCAAAAAATGTCCATATTTAACGATTCATACTGTCAAATTTAGATGTACACTGTAAGTCATTTTTTTCTTAAAATAAATGCATTTATTCTTGGATTGAGGAGGTAAAAGAGAAATTCTGCTAATGGAACAAGGCAATTTACATTTAAAATAAGAAAAAAAGAATTACATTGTCTCATTTTAAGTGCATATTACCTAATTATCTTATTTTAAGGGTAAAAACACTCATTCCATTGGCAAACTATCTAATTTTTCTGCTCAAATTAAGGGTAAATACACTTAATTTAAGATATTTTTACTTATTTCTAGATGTTTTTTCCAGTGTATATTGACAATATTTGTTTAGGTTCAAGTTGTGGAGGCGTCATCTAATCTTTTCTTGTCCCACACATCAGTCTTTGTAACATGTTGCTTTTTGCTGTGCATGCACACTTCTAGTGTTTATGTGTCCGATGACCTTGATTTTCAGCCATTTACTGCAGCTTCACTTAGAAAATGGATGAGAGTTTCAAAAACCAAACTTCCTTACAATTTTATGAAATGAAGAACTCAGAAAAAGGATTAATAATGGGGTGTATTTTGGAAATTCTTGGCTATAGAGCAGGTGTGGTCTCGTGCATGCACTTTTTTCAATAAGTGAATTTAGCATTTCTCTTGTTGCTCATGTGGTTCTAGATAATATAAATATCATAACACATAGAATACATAGCTTTAGTTGATATGTATCTCTAATTAGACTCCTAGATGACTTATATATCAATATACCATTGCTTTTCCTCCAAAACAAAAAACAAACAAAAAAAACAACTTTTTTTTGTTGTCAGTTTATTTTTATTATACTTTCAATTGAAACGTCAAATTAGTTTGGATATTCCACTTAAGAATTACCCTCCTCAGGTTTAGACCTGTTCCAAAGGTGGTGAGTTACATGGCAACAGCAAATCACCTGGTAGGGGTGGCCAGTGATTGGCTAAGGGTTGCCATGGTCAGCCCTGGCCCCCTATCTAGCTCCGCCCCTATTGTTACAGTGGGTCCTGGTTGGAAATGGACACTTCACTCACGCTCTCCGTGTTTCACGGATTGCGTGAAAAACATGTGACTACTATAGCCACTAGGTGGCAGTCTTGAGTCCATTTTGTATGCACCCCCATACATTAAAGGAATAGTACACCCAAAACATGATTAGCCTTCATTTTCTACTCACCCCCATGCTGAACAACACTCTGGAGTACTTTTTTGATATCTCAAATGCATCTGGAGATCTGGGAGGCTTCTTGCTGTCTGCTGACATTCAAATAATGGAGGTCTATGGCGCCCGAGACAGAAAGGTCCATAAAAGTCCACAAAAAACGTGTCAATATTCCTCCATACTGCTCGTCCAATGTATTCCAAGTGTCCTGAGTGGGTAGCATCCAGAATTTAATTGAAACAAAGTCATTTAGAATGTTTTTAGAGCATAAACAGTAGTGTATAGGATTTCCTAAAAGCGCGTTCACGAGTCTACGGAAACCGTGGCAGATCAAACCAGACGAAAGTGCGCATTCAGCTCGGCAAAGAACTCATGCTCTTCCTCAACACTGAAGTCCTCAGACATTTTTCTTTCGTTGTTTCTTTCTTTGCACAGGTAAACAGCACATTTCTTCATCTACGCTTGCATTATCGGCAGAGCAGACGCTGAATGCGCACTTTCATCTGGTTTGGTCTGCCGCGGTTTCCGTAGACTCGTGAACGCGCTTTTAGGAAATCCTATACACTACTGTTTATGCTCTAAAAACATTCTAAATGACTTCGTTTCGAGTAAATTATGGACGCTACCCACTCAGGACAGTTGGAATACATTGGACGAGCAGTATGGAGGAATATTGACACGTTTTTTGTGGACTTTTATGTACCTTTCTGCCTCGGGCACCATAGACCTCCATTATTTGAATGTCAGCAGACAGCAAGAAGCCTCCCAGATCTCCAGATGCATTTGAGATATCAAAAAAGTACTCCAGAGTGTTGTTCAGCATGGGGGTGAGTAGAAAATGAAGGCTAATCATGTTTTGGGTGTACTATTCCTTTAAGTATTTTGTAAGTTTGAAGGGGCACAACCATTAAATGTCACCTCTCAGATCTGTTCTGACTAGAAAATCCTCATGCAAAGATGCACCACAGATCCCTGACAGAAACTGCAGAATTTGTTAGCAACAGTAGAATAGACAGAGATTAGGAGGTTCTGTCTATTGGTGAAATTGGATGGAGAGCAGTCCTGAAGGCAGGCAGTACCTGCAGCTTGAGGCGGGTTCCTCTGGTGACAGTCTCAGTACTGTTTCTATATATCAAAGTGACGGGCGGCTGCAGACCCAGAGCAGAGGGAAAGATTCAGGCTCTGTCTCTACTGAGTGTTTAGTACTGCGATGGAGAAGGTTTATAAACTTAAGCAAGTTGCATCAGCAGTCAAATGTTTTTTGGGAATGGGGACCGATTTTCTTCTTCACTGCTGCATGGACACTTGAACAGAAAAAAAATGAATATATGATTATCATTTTAAGGATAATGCAAATATGTCCAGACCTGCTAAATAGAGTAAACACACTCAAAATGTAACGTTGCCAAGTTTTTATTTGCTGGTCTAAAAATCTCAAAGATTCTTGTCCAAGTCGTTTAAACACTAGTTAATTGAAATAAATCTGTGCAAGAATCAAGAAGCTCATTTAAATTATTTTTATACATGTTTTACTGACCAAAATTAAGTTTGTTTCCTAAAAGCAGGACTGTTATTTATTTATTTTTTAAATTTTTTTGTTAAAACCCATCCGATTTCCTCTCTAAAGATGGTTACCGGATCAGACCAGCTCAGAGATGGTCTGTCAGACTTCAGTTTGCATTAGTTTTGCAGTCTTAGCACAGTCTGTTCTTTGGGACAAATTTAAGGACCACTCAAAGACTTTCCTTAAGCAGCGAAAAAAATTGTTCCACGGAATAATTAAAGTCAGACACTGCTGTCAAGTCTAAGCAATAATTCTGTTTTTTTTTTTTTCAGTTAAAATTCTATCAAACTTTATCAAACATAAGATGTTCTTCAAGAAAACTTATTGACCAGTGGGTATCAGGATGTTATGGGTCCAGACTTACCAGATTGTAGCTGCTGTGGTCAGCACATTATAAAATGTGCGATTTTAAGCACATATTATCTTTCTAAAATGGTGTATAAATAGGTATCCAAATTGGACTGAGCTCTATCTGCTGAAGAAAAGGATTGCAGAACAGCTGTTAGCTCCCAGCAACCAGCCTGCTGCTTTACTTACATGCCATTTTATCAGTTAAACCACTTTAGTAGCTGTGTGCAAATGCTGTGCTTTATAGGTCATTCATTATTTATCATTTTTAATGTATTTACTGAATCCGTTAAGCTACACATTAAAATCATCAGGGCAAATTGCTTTAAATAAACTTTAAGTTATTTTTTAAAATCTTTATCTGCATAGTAATAGACCAGTAACTGGAGTCTGATCACTAATTGTCAATAGTTGGATTTTATTAAGGTCTGTTGTTTTTATTTGAACCCATCTGGACAATGTTTATATGAGGTCTCTGTTATAAGGCAGCGCTTTATCCCAGGCTGCCAAAGCTCATCCAGACTTACTCATAAATGGAAAGAATGACTAAAACAACAAAAAGCGTTTCAGTTGGGCTCCCATGTTCATGAGCGTGCTTTCCCCCCTGCAAACAGACGCCATCCATCCAGGTATCTCTAAATCAGATTAGTTCATTGACTTAGTTACTGTTTGGTTCACAGCCATTTGTTTCAGTTCCAAATCTAATTGTCTGCTTCTTTTCTAATTCCAGCCAGTCAGTCAGCTGTGATGGCAGACTGCAGATACTGTGAGAACTAAATAAATAAGGTTGTTTGTCAAAAAAAAATACTGTTACATCTATTTTTTGTATAAAATGTTTTTCACTAAATGCGTTGATCACTTAACAAGTGTCATGAATAATTTGATGCTTTTGTTGCATATCATGAGGT